TTAACAAAACCCGTGATTTTCCGGAACTAAAAAACCGGATTTTTTCCTGATTTTTGTTTTTTATTTTTTTTTACAGGATATAGATCTTATAACCCCGCCAGAAATAAAACATGAGATTATGGAGAACCTCTATATGGATCCTGTGCAGCTTCGGACACATCTTCGTCAAACATTCGATATTTCACAAATTACTCCGAAGCAAATCAATTATTGATAGTCTACTTTCTGTCAGCGTTTCTACAAATTAGACGAAGATTCTGTTATTTCTGCGCGTCGCTTTTTAGAAAATCCGAATAATAATAATCAATTTTGTTTTGAGTGGAGGAATGAATTGGTTACAGCAATTGGATTCATAACTCCTTTGCTAACTAAACTCTTACCTGTGTTGAGTATCCATTGTGATGCGACCTACAAAACAGTTAAAGAACGATTTGAGCTCTATGGAATTATCAGTAATGCTAATGGCGCAGGATTTCCAATTGCGTATTTGTTACTAAATACTACGAAAGCATTCGACAATGAAGAACAAACAGAGCTACGAACAAAAGCACTTGCCGGCTTTCTTCGCTCTCTTCACAACAAGAGGTTAGAACTGCAGTACTTCTTTACTGACAAAAATTTCGCTGAGATCAATGCCGCAAAAGAAGTGTGGCCAAGTATTAACGTGCAGCTCTGTCTGTGGCATGTAGAAAGGGTAATAAAAGAAAAACTTAAGAGCCATAAGAGAATACAACGTACCCAGTATCAACCAGAGGAAGCTGTTGCGAAGTTTAGTTTCATTGATCTCACCTTCGTGCCTGATTTAAAATGTTCAGAGTCCAAGTATTATATTGTATGTCCACCGGAACTACGAAATAAAGCTATTGATCTTATCAAAAAACATTTTAATATGCATCCAAAAATCCCTATCAATGCTATTGGACAGTTTTTGATGGCTAATGAAATCCGAAGAAGTGCAGTTCATGAAATGTATAATTTTTGCACTGAAAATAAACTTGAATTACTTTGGGCATACTTATGATCTGCGTGGTATAAAATTACAAGGTGGATGCTTTGGGCACGATCAACACAGATAACAATCCTGATTTGCAAGACGAATATGCTAATTGAAGCACATTGGAGAGTTGTAAAATGTTGCTACCTTTACTGATTCAACAGACCACGACTTGATTATGTTGTGTGGATTATCTGCACACGTCTTCTTCCTGATCAAATCACTCATCTCGATCAAATGCGCCTGGGTCGAATAACTCCATGTTGGTTTGATGATTTTAAAAATAATTGGAAACAGCTTAGTATGAGACAAATTGCTGATGATGATGATAATCATTACTTTATTAATCCAACACGTTGGATATGTAGCTGCCCTTCATTTCTTCATAGTCGATTTCTTATTTGTAAACACTTAGTTCATTGCATAGTTGAAAAGGCGAAATTGCTTGATTCACGAGGTATCCGGTTGATGTATGAAAATTTTCAACGGTGAGAAGATTATCCTTTTCTCATTTGGAATATGGAAGAAATCAATACCTACCAGTCTTTAATTTCGCAGGATGATAACCAAGCTTTAATTTCGCAGACTGAAGTTAATAATGAATTTGTTAAAATGAATGAAGATGACGATGAAGCTTTTGATCCCGAAATGCGGTAGATTTGTGAGCGCAAGGTAGCTGCCGTAAGACGTATGACAGAACATCTGGAACAAGAACTCTTAGCAAACAACTTAAATCATATTACACACGTAGTTAACAATATGAATAAGTTGTTCACTATATTAAATGACATTGAGAAGGCACAACATAGATGAAGACGTGATCCGACGTGGCAAGGATCAACCTCATGAACATTATTCTTGCAATAAAATAAAGTTCATATTCTCTTATTATATCATAATATAAATAAAAAATGTATATAAAACAAACTTACGAGCTCAATAAAGATTCTCCAAGTGCTACCCATAATTCTCTTGAAATCAATTGCGTACAATTCTCTTTCAAGCTTGTAAAACTCATATAACATTGACGTGTTTGTTGGTTAGGACTTGATACCAGAAAATATATTATTAGAATACAGTTTTGTAAAGAATTTATGGAACAGACAACTGAAACGCAAACTATATTATCTGAAATCTCCTGAGCTATTGGATTTTGGATATTCCTATTAAAAAAACCCTCTGAACACACACACACACACAACACACGATATCGCGACAGGACTTAAGATGCTGACAATTGAAACTTAGTTTGCCAAAAATTCATTATTACGTCCACAAATAATATTTTTTATTGTTACTTTGTTTACTTTACTCCACATTATTTTGTTTACTTGACATTGTTCCTTTATTATTATGGCAATTTTCATAATTGCATTATGCTAAAATAGGAAGAATTTTCATCTTCGTACATATTAATTTCTGGAAATGGATCAGTGAGTTCGTTAATCAGGTGATCAGATCAGATAATCACGTGATCTGAAAAAGTCACCTACATCCTGGTACAGTTCTCACCCAACAGCTAACTACTACTAAAATATATAATTGATCTAGAAATGGTCCAAACAATTAATATTCGAGCTAGAATTCTCAAGGTAACAATTCAACAATTACTTATTACAATTGTGATGAAAAAGAACATATTAAATCTAACTGTTCAAAGTCAAAACAAGATCCAAATCAATAAATATCTTATGAAAGAAATTGGCAAAGTCATAATAATAATAATTATCAACAAAATTCATTCAACAATAGTTAAGAAAAATCACAACAAAATAAAATATTTTTTTCAACAAATACACAAAATCAAATTAATTCAGCTCTTCTTACACAACTTTAAGTGCTAAATTTGAATTTGCAAAGTATATATAAGAAGCAAAACAATACTAGCAACTCATTATTAGCTGAGCATGACTATCTTGCAAGTGAAAAGAAGCAGAAAACAGTTGAAAAATATAATTCACTTGTTAAAAAACCTGTTAAAAGTAAACAAGTTGAAAGTGGAGAAAAAGACAATGTAATTCTTGTTGAAAATGAAAATATGGATGAAGCAGATCTCTCTAATATTTCTATAACAGAAAACATTGAAAGAATCAAGTCCAAGTAAAAGAAAGGCAAAGCAATTCTACCAGTTCTTGTTACAAAAGCAATACTATATGATATTACTGAAGACTTGGTCAATATGAAAGTTAATATTACAGTGACTCAATTAATTGAAATCTCACCTGTTCAATGAATTAAAATGTCAAAAGCTCTCAGAAAACCACATCAAATTCATCTTAGAAAGAAAGCTAGAATGTTGAATCAAAATATAAAAACAACTTCAGCCTGGTGTAATATAAAAATTGAAAGAATCATAATCGATCTTATTATTAATACTGATATTTCTAGATATGTTATAATACATCAGTTTCTCAAAAGCCAGAATATCAAAATATAAAGAAAATCAAATATTTTTATGATTGATATTAATGGACAATTCAAACAACTACTTGGAGCTGTTGATAACTTACCAATTACTATCAATAGAATCATAATTTCAACTCAAGCTGATGTCACTGAAGCAAGAACATATATTGTTGTTGTAGGCATGAATTTCTTGCACAAAATTAATGCAAATATCAATTTAAAGAAAGATATAATAATTTTTGAATGGGCTGGACATAAAGATAAAGTTTCAATCAAATATATTCATAAATAAAACAATCAAATAGATTTGAAAGATTCTGATAATTCTGACAGTGATTCTACTGAATCAGAAGATAAAAAAAAGCTAAAAATCAAAGAACAATATCTGAATTAACAAGCCTACCTAATATTTGACTGCCAGAATAACTGGACAACTGTTAAATGTCAAAAGAAAAAAGAAAAATTTGATAAAAGTATTGAAATTGCTTTGGAAGAAGAATGAACTCCAATTATTTTTTATAAATGAGAAAATAAGTATGTAGATTTTGGAATAGTATCTCTATTAATTATCCAAAGTGTTAGAAACATTCACCATGTTCAGGTATATTAAGAAGACATCAAAATTTAAAATAAAAAGTACACTTGAAATAATTGTCAACAGTCGAGAAACAAATTCCAAAACACTTTGTATGAAAGACAAAAGTGAACAACTGACTGACAAGGATCTCAAAAGATTTGTTGGTGTTCTAAAACACAGTATACCTTGAAAAATTGGTGCATGACTTGTAGAAATTAATTGTCTGAGTGGATCACAATTGAATAATACAAACCATATAAAGTTAAAACAAAACTTCAGCAGATTGAGCTGATGAAGTATAACAACTTTACTTAAGAACTCAACACTTTGACCAGCACTTTAATACCTTTGATAAGATTCAACAAGCAATTAATTCAGTCTTTGAAATAGTCAGATGTGAAGAATGTAAAAAGTATATAGAAGAATACTATTCCAAATCTTATCTTATATCACAAAATGTTTTCAAAACAGCTTATGAACAATGTTATGTAGAAAAAAAACTTAATCTTCCATCTTGTTTATATTGTGAACATCAAGATGAAGCTATAAATATATATATTACTGATAGTTATGACAAGAAATACTTTTGTGACTACTTTGAACAATATGTATATTGGTTCAATTATAATAAATAGCAACAAAATAGAAATATTGTTAGAAAACTAAGAGATTATGAATTATTAACTTCAATATATATCCAATGTAATGAGATTGAAAAGACTATTCTATTATATTATATTTGTAAAGAAGATATTGAGAATGAAATGGGTATAATTTCATATAATGATCCAGAAGATGTAACTGCTGCTAAAATCTTCCAAGCAATATACCAACAAATTATATCAGAAAGAAGACTACAACTGGTTTGTTTAGAATATATTAATGTTAAGCTTTGTAAAGAATATTTAATTCCATGTAATAATAAATTTTTGCTCTAACTGTATATAATTAAAACAAACTTCTATTGACAAAGGCAAGCAAAAAGAAGATATTAATGATCTATAAATAATAATTAATCAAATCAATGACCTAACAAATGAATTACAATATAATCATTATCAAAATTCATTTAATAAAGCTCAACAAATATTGAAAACATTTCAAAATAACATACAATCACTATCACCAATTGATATTGAAGATATTTTTGAAGAAATATATTAGTCAATTCAACAAATAATTCAATAATTGATTAAAAAAGATAATAGAAGTAATTATGATACTTGTAAAGAAATCCTGGATGAATATTATGAAGAAAAAATTAAAGAAATGAATTATTATCTCAAAATTTACAATGACAATAAAGAAGAAATTATATCCAAATGAATGCATAGCACTGATACAGGCTTTGATTTGTATTATTCTGGTACAGAAGTGCTAATTGTGTTATCTCAACAAACAATTTTAATTGATATTAAAATTATCATGAAAATTTTAACAGGAACAGTTTGTCAAATCTTTTCAAGATTTTTACTTGCAAAAATCAATCTCAACATTCAAGGTGAAACAATTAATACTGAATATATTGAAAATATTAGTGTTATGCTTCACAACAACTCTTAGCAATCCTATAATATTCTTCCAAATACTAGAATTACTCAAGCAGTTTTCCTATAACTGGCACCTGTTAAAAAGCTAATTTCAGTATCAACTTGAGAAGAACTTGATGAAACTGAGAGAGGAACTGATAAGTTCAGTTTTACTAACTTGGTTACAAGAGAAAACTACTTTATTCAACAGGTATTAAAGTAATCAATTATATAACAAAAAGAATTGATCATCATATAACAACAGTTACTAAATAATCTTTTGGAAGCATACAAAGATATTTTTATACAAGAACTCAGTAAACTTGGATGTACTCAAGATGTTCAACATATAATAAACACTGATAGAACTATTTCAATCAAACAATATTCATATAGAGCAACAATTCCAGATCAAGAATTTATTATTAAAGAGATACAAAAAATACTTAAAGCTGGAATTATATAACTCTTAATAAGTCTCTAGATCTTTCCAATTGTTGTAGTATCTAAAAAAATAGAATAAAATAATTTTGTATAGATTATAGAAAGTTAAATTCAGTCACTCAAAAAGATACATATTTACTTTCAAGAATTGATGAAATACTAGATAGTCTTGGAAACTCAAAATGATTTTTATCTTTGGATTTATTTTCTGGATATTGGCAAATACCAGTAGAAGAAAATAGCAAGTCAAAAATAGCTTTCATTTCTAAACAAGACTTGTTTGAATTCAATATTATTTGAAGTGTATAATGGTTCTGCAACTTTTCAATGAGTTATGAACACTATTTTGACTGAATACAAGTATTAATTCATATTAGTTTATTTGGATAACATTAATATTTATTCTCAAATATTTGATGAACATTTGGAATATTTACAAAAAATTTTTGAAAAGTTTCATAAAGCTAAACTTAAATTCAATTCAGAAAAATGCAATTTATTTTGAAATGAACTACTATTTCTTAGACATATAATCATTGCTAAAGAAATTTCACCAGATCCATCAACAATTGAAAAGGTCAAAAACTTTTCTCAATCCAAAATAGTAAAATAATTGAGATTTTTTCTTGGACTAGCTGGATACCATAGAAAGTTTATCAAAGATTTCTCACAAATAGCATCACCATTATTCAAATTACTTTGAAATAATATCACTTTCATATAGATACAAGAGCAAGAAAGAGCATTTTAAGAACTAAAACAAAAACTCATTTCAGTACCAATTCTAATTTGCACGAAAATTTTACCTATATACTAATACTTCTAATCATGAACTTGAAGCAATATTAGTCCAACAAAATGCTAATGGAAAAAAAGGAGTTGTTGTATATACAAGTGTCACATTAAAACCAAGTGAAAAGAATTATAGCACAACTGAAAAAGAAGCTTTAGCTGTTGTGTGAACAGTTAGATAGTTCAAACACTATCTTCTTGAAACTCTATTCAAAGTAATAATTGATCACAATGCATTAAAATGGTTATTTCACAAATAATCAAATCCTGGACCAAGAATTGCAAGATAAATTATGGAAATAATGAAATACAATTTTATAATTACATATTGATCTGGAAAAGTCAACCAAAATGCTGATATTTTATTATGATTTAATTAATAGATAATTATAGAATTAGAATAATATTCAGCATTAGTTAGTTATTTATATTGATTAATTATAAAATAATACATAAACTCACATATTCTATTTAAAGTAAGAGATTTAGGAAGTTAATATGTGATCAATTACCATTTTTAGATATTAGTAATAGATAATAATCACAAAAAAATATTATCTTCTAATAATGAAATAGCATATATTATGATTGGATAATAAATTCAGATCATAACATTATAAATAAATTATAATCAGCCACATAATATTGACTTTCAATAATGAAATAACATATATATGATTGAATAATAAATTTAGATCATTACAAA